CTGAAGCAGAGCATTGGTTAATACAGAGCTCAGAGAAATATGTTACTTCAATTTCCAGAAACCTCTGGACAGTTCAGCTCAAAAGTAGTATTTGGTATAAGCTTTCATTGCATGTAGCCCATTTCTCTGCTCAGTGTTGTCCAGAAGTGACAACAGAAATGATCAAGGTTTAGAAACAGAGGTCTTCCAAGTTCTACCTCAGGGGACTCAACTCTTTAAAGCAAAGTATGTGCTCTATTTCTCATCCCCAGCTCTTCTCATAAGCTCCAGACTCAATCCATTTTCTCTGTCCTTATAGTATGGGTCAGTGAAGGAGACAATTCTCAACAGAGAATGAACAGTCCATTTACTGAATGGTCAAATAGTCAAGTTATTTGGAGGGGAAAAATCAGCTGAACTATTTTCAGATCAATTTATGTGTATGTGCTCAAAGTTATCTGTCAACTTGCAGCAACCCCATGAATTTCATAGGGTTTTCTTGGCCAAAGAATACTCAGAGGTGGTTTTGCCAGTTCCTTTCTCTGAAATACAACCTCAGCACCTGGCATTCATTGACAGTCTCCTATTCAGTTACTAACCAAGATTGATTTACTGGTAGATCCATGATATATCCAATGAGTGTAGAAACAAGTGTTTTGGAGAGACAATGCCAAACTATGAAGATGGGGTAGTAAAAGTGTAGCTCATGGATCATGAGTAGCTTTCAAATCCCACTTCTGCAGCCCCCCAAAGCCCACTGAACCTCTAATTTTAACTGGGGGTATTTCCCAGCAAAGCATTGGTTTGCTTTCCCTTCCTAAGATGAATAAATAAAAGGCAAACGTTGTATGTATGATGTAGACATTTAAAATCCACACGTAAAGGATTATTGCCTGTTCTATTGACATGCACACCTCTGTCAAGACTCCATGCTTTTCAAAACCTGCCTCCACATCTCTAGGACAGTCTCTCTTTGGACCTCCAACTAGAAGAGGATCCCATTTTCATAAGAGGCTGAGGACTTTTGTCTTTGATTCAAAAGATTGAGGTTACTAAGACGGGTAATGACTAGCAGAGTGTGGTGATTTCATGTATATTTATGATATTGTGTTCTGTTGTCTTTATCTTTGTTTATACATATTTAATGTTCCACAATTCCATAGAACCATGATAAATATGGAACCATGAAGCCAACAGGAGATTGTAAGTTACCTGTGAAGGCCAAGAAATCAAGCACTGTTTCCATCCTAAATATCTCGGTGTCACCTTAGATCGAACACTAACATTTAGTAAACACTGTATGAACCCCAAGCACAGTAACATACTGCGGAAACTTACTGGCAGCGCATGGAGAACAGACCCAAAATGAATAAGAACATCAGCCCTGGCCTTGTCTTACTCAACTGCTTAGTATGCCTGCCCTGTTTGGCACAAGTCTGTTCAAGCGAAGCATGTCAACATAGCACTGAAAGAAACATAGAATAATCACAGGATGTCTCAAACATATGCCTGTTGATAGACTCTATAAGCTAGATGGCACCCCCCACCCTGATATGTGATGGGAAGTTGTTCCCAACTGTGAGAGAAATAAGGTTGAACACTGCAGGGCTATCCACTGCGGGGCTATCAGCCTCCTTCCAGTACACTCAAATCAAGGAAAAGCTTCATAAGAACCAACACTCCACTTAATGTTCGCCCAGGAACAAGAAGAGCATCCCCCTGGGCAGCTAAACCAGGAAATCCCAACTGGATGGCACCCACATGGTCTGCCTCCAGAGTCAAACCAAGAGTGGGCAACTCGAAAGTCCCTGAACAGACTCAGAAGTGGAGTGAGTAAATCAAAAGACAGCCTAGCGAAATGGCACTACCTAAAATACTGTGGAGCAGAACAAACAACTCTGCACCTGTATGCTTGTCCATTATGTCCTGCCTCGTGTATAGAGGAAGAATTGTTGAAAGCTACAAACAATGTGATCACTGTTGCCCAATTTTGGTCAAAAATTATTTAGCCACTTGTGCTCCTTCTATTTTTATCAGTTATATACTTATATATGCAAAGCTTTTGATATGAAATAAAAACTTTGATAGAAAGTTTGATAGTTGAACTCCTAAACATCAGGAGGGAGGACCCAAGTTTCCCCAGGCCCGCTCTAGATGCTGCTGTTGGATGTCCTCTTTGCTTCTCTGGGGTTCAAGGCTGGGTGGTACTTGAAGGAGAAAAAACAATTTCGCTTGAGAAAAAAACCATGGTTCTTCTACCTCCTGGGGAGACCCCAAGACCCCCAGGGCACACACTCCTTCCTCTTGGCCTTCTCCAAGATCTAGTGGGGGCTTCAGAAGTGAAAGGGGAGTGTTTCAAAGGCAGAAAACATAATGATGGTAGGGAAAGGAGGAAGGAGTATCTGTGGCAGGATTGCTGGGGAGGGAGCGGGTTGAGCTTGGAAATGTCAACTAGAGGAAACCCCTCTGAGCTTCCCTTTCTCTCCAGTAGGAAACAAATATCTATGTTGTCAAAGGCATGCTGTGTGTTTTCTGGGCTGTATGGCCATATTCCAGAAGCATTCTCTCCTGATATTTCACCCACATCTATGGCCGGCATCCTCAGAGGTTGTGAGGTCTGTTTGAAACTAAGCAAGGGAGGTTTATATATCTCTGGAGTGTCCAAGGTGGGAGAAAGAACTCTTATCTGTTGGAGGCAGGTGTGAATGTTGCAACTAATTACCTTTATTAGCATTGTAAAGCTTTGCAGCTTCAAGGTCTGGCTGCTTCCTGCCTGGGGAATCCTGGCTAATCAAGGCCATGAATTGCAGCATTCACACTTGTCCCCAACAAACAAGAGTTCTTTCTCCCATCCTGGATTTTCCACAGGTATATAAACCAACCTTGCTTAGTTTCCAATACACCAGAGCAGAATATTTGACCTTCAGTTCAGGATAGTAAGCTAATCTTGCAATAGCAACACCTGATGTCAAGTAGTTGATCTGAAGAAACACACAACATCTGGAGGCTAATACCTCCCAACAAAGGATTCCCCCAGGCAGGAAGCAGCCAGGCTTTGAAGCTGCAAGGCCATTCAATACTTATGGAACATTCACAGACAAGAGCTCTTTCTCCCACCCTAGATATTTTACGGATATATACACCTCCCTTACTTAGTTTCCAATATACCTCCCAACCTTTGAGGATGCCTGCCATAAGGTGTGGGCGAAACATCAGGAGAGAATGCTTCTGGAGCATGGCCATAAAGCCAGGAAAACTACCAGCAATCTAAATCTCTTCTCCTTCCCGCACTTCACCACCAATCTGGCAGACAACCTGCCCCACAGAGAAAGCCCAGAAAGAGAGAGAGGAAGGAAGGAAGAGAGAGACGCAGCAGCGCTTTGCCTCCAATGGGCGAACGGGCGTCGACTCTTCGCTGCCAACCGCTGCGGATTGGGCAGCGTCCAGCCAGCAACACAGAGGAAGAGGAGGAGGGGGGGAGGGGGATGCCCCCATTCGTGGAGACTGAAGCCCCCTCCCCAACCGCCCCCCCCCACCCCCACCCCCACCCCCCTTGGCTGCCTGGCATCAGCACGGAAAGTGGGTCAGGCAGATCTGGAGACGGAAGAGGAGGAGGAGGAGGCTCCAGCTGCGGGGAAGAAGAAACGTGCATCTTCTCCCACATTAGGAAGAGAGAGAGAACTCCACAGCAGCAGTAGGGTCTCCTTCCTCCACGCCCCCTTCCCCAAATCATGAGCGACGGATCCCTCGAGCGGCATCCATCAGCCCTGAGGGCGCTATTCTGCTTGGAGACAGCGAGGCAACCAGGAGGAGCGTCGCGAACCAATCTCGCCACGGACAAGGCGCAAGGCTGGCCCCCCATCCATTGGGGAGGAAGGGGATGCCAGTCCCGAGACAGGTGGAAAGAGAGGAGGGAGGGAGAGAGAGAGGGAGGGAGGGGCTGCCAAGGCGGGCCTCTCCCCATTCATCTCCCCATCCCACACACACCCCCCCCTTTGGACCGCCCAAACACAAATCAAGGAACATGAAAGGCACTGCAGACTACTTCAACCAGAGAAGTCAGCCATAGCAGAGCACCTGATGAACCAACCTGGACACAGCATATTGTTTGAGAACACAGAAATGCTGGACCACTCTCACAACCACCATGTCAGAACACAGAGAAGCCACTGAAATCCACAAGCATGTGGACAATGTCAACAGAAAGGAGGAAACCATGAAAATGAATAAAATCTGGCTACCAGTATTTTACAAACTCTAAAACCAGGACAGTAAATAGAGAGCAACACTCAAACAACAGGGGGATTCAGACAGGAAACAATCAGGGCCAGCTAACACCTCCCAACAAAAGATTTCCCCCAGGCCGGCAGCAGCCAGGCTTTGAAGCTGCAAAACCATTCAATGCTAATCACAACATTCACACTTGCCTCCAACATACAAGTGTTCTTTCTCCCACCCTGGACTTTCCACAGATATATAAACTTCCTTTGCCTGGTTTCCAACAGACCCCCACAACCTCTGAGGATGCTAACACTTCTCAACAAAGGATTCCCCTAGGCCGGCAGCAGCCAGGCTTTGAAGCTGCAAGGCCATTCGATGCTAATCACAACATTCATACTTGCCTCCAACAGACAAGTGTTCTTTCTCCCACCCTGGACTTTCCACAGATATATAAACCTCCCTTGCCTGGGTTCCAACAGACCCCACAACCTCTGAGGATGCCTGCCATAGATGTGGGCGAAACGTCAGGAGAGAATGCTTCTGCAACATGGCCATACAGCCAAGAAAAACTCACTGCAACCTAACCCAAATGGAGTTTCATTCAAAAACATATTCTCAAAGAAGGGAGGGGAGGGTAGAAAGTTACCCCCCCCCTCACTCCCCAAACAAGAACAACTCTAAGGTTAGTGATGGGGTGGGTGGCAGACCCCACAGTCAAGGATCCCTCCCTTGCCGGCCACGCCTCCCCGAAGCACGGGCCGAGGTGGGTGAGGAAGGGAGAAGGCGAGGGTGACACTTACGGACGGGCTCCAGCTTGGGGTCCATGCCTCGCAGGGTTCCCTGGACGGCGCCCAGCCTGCCCTGCAGGGCCCGGAGGCGCCGGTGGCTGTGCTGCAGGTCGCCCTCGATCTCCTGGAAGAGGGCGCAGGCGTGGCGGGCCAGGTCGGAGAGCTGCCGGAGGACCCGCGACAGGGCGGCGTTGCTCAGCGAGCCCAGGTCCCGCACCATCCGCGCCCTCCTCGCCGCCCCCGCCTTGCCCTCCGGCAGGGCCAGCGCCAGCCCGGGCGGAGGAGGGCACGCTCCTGCCACCACCTCCTCGCCCCCTTCCTCCTCCTCCTCCTCCTCTTCCTCCTCGGAGCCCTCCTGGGCTTCCCCCAGCTGCGGGTCCGCCTCGTCCTCCTCCTGCTCCATCTGCCCTCCGAGGCTGCTGCTGCTGCTGCTTCCTCCTCCTCCTCCTCCTTCCCGGGGCTGCGGCTCCTCATCCAGCACCGAGGCCAGGCTCTGCTGCCGGTAGAGCCATTGGGGCTCCACCGTCCGCTTGGCAAAAGGCATGCTCCCCAAAAGAAGCGCCCCAAAACAAGGAGCAAGGCAGAGGCGCCGCTCGCCTCCTTCAAACCCTCGTGCGGTTGAGTCCGAGGGGGAGTGTCTCTCTCTCTCTCTCTCTCTCCAAACTGGACTCCTCGGGGCGCTCCCTCTCCCTCCTCCTCCTCCAAGCCTCCTTTCACTTGCTAGCAGCCCACGTCGGGAGGAGAGGGACGGGTCCTTCCCATGGTCTGCGCCTCTCCCTTCTCGCCTCTCCTAAGCCACCCTCCGGCTTCCGACGCCAGGCAGCCAGGAGGGTGTTATGGAATGGATGGGCTTCTCTCTCTCTCTCTCAATCTCGTAAGGATGGATGGATGGAAAACCCGGAGAAAGGAACGCGCCTCAATCTTCTGCCAGGAGGAGCGAGCGAGCGAGCGAGGGAGTGAGTGAGCGGAGAGGCAGGGAGACACCCACTCGCCTCCTCCTGCTGCTCTGAAAGAGAGATGCAGTGCCCCTAGTGACCGCAAGGGGGCACTGCAGGCGCCGAGCAAAGACTTAGTTCGGGGTGGAAATGGATACAAGTTTCACTCCGGAGTAAGGAGAGGATTCGGAGTCACTCCCAACTCCCTATAGGCATATGGCCTTGTTGAAAAATAACATTTTAAGACTGAGACAGAAGGTGCTGATTGGAGGAGAGGAGGAAGAGCCCCAAGGAGTCCAGTTTGGAGAGAGCGCACAGAGGGGAGACAGAGGGCCCTTCCACACAGCCATATATCCCCAGAATATCAAAGCAGAACATCTCACATCATCTGCTTCGAACTGGGTTATCTGAGTCCACACTCAGATAATGTGGAATTTTCTGCCTTGATATTCTGGGAAATAGGGCTGTGTGGAAGGGCCCACAGTGGTGCTCAACCTGGGGTCCCCAGATGTTTTTGGCCTTCAACTCCCAGAAATCCTAACAGCTGGTAAACTGGCTGGGATTTCTGGGAGTTGTAGGCCAGAAACATCTGGGGACCCCAGGATGAGCACCAGTGGCCCAGAGATTCTACCTGAACATGAGGAAGGACTTCCTGGGTGTGAGAGCTGTTCAGCAGTAGAACCCTCTGCCCTGGAATGTGGTGGATGCTCCTTCTTTGGAGGCTTTTAAGCAGAGGCTGAGTGGCCATCTGTCAGGTGTGTTTTGAATACAATTTTCCTGCTTCTTCACAGGGGTTAGACTGGATAGCCCATGAGACCTCTTTCCAGTGCTATGATTCTATGATTGGTGTGAATGCATTGTAATAGGTAACTAATTATTTATTTTTCTTATTTTCACTATCTATTTTTAACAACCCCATGTATAATTCTATTTTTCGGTTTTAAACTGTACATTTTTGGAGGGTTTTTTTAAAACTTCGGGTTGCTGGGAGTTTTACAAGCTATGTAGCCATGTTCCAGAAGCATTCTCTCCTGACGTTTCACCCACATCTATGGCAGGCATCCTCAGAAGTTGAGGAGTTTGTTGGAATCTAGGCAAGTGGGATTTATATATCTGTGGAAGGTCCGGGAAAGAAGAAAGAACTCAGCCACTTAGGGGGGAAAGGAAAGGGCATTGTGGGAGTTGTGGGAGTTGAAGTCCAAAATACCTGGAGGGCCAGAGTTTGCCCATGCCTGCTGTAACTGCTACTGTTTACTTTCAAGTGATTTCAGAGTTATGGCAAAACTATCACAGGGTTTTCTTGGCAAAATTTCTTTGTGGGGGGATGCGTCTTTCACTTTCTCTGAGACTGAGAAGATGGGTCTTTCTGGAGGACTTTCTGGAGTGTTTCCCTTAAACATTCAAAAAGCCTATCTGAATGTCAAAAAGTCTACTTGCCCACAGAAGGAGACCAAAGTGGGAGGAAGCTGTCCAGTCTAGGGGCAGCCACCCATTTATAAAGGTGAGTGGGATCAGGGGAAAAGCCCTCTCTTGTGAATAATAATAACACAACAACAACAACAACACTTTATTTATATTCTGCCCTATCTCTCCAAGAGTGGATTACAGCATATGTACAAACACAGGCAAACATTCCGTGCCTTGATACAATGAAATAGAAATACACAGAGGAAGGCAAAGGCAATGGCTTCCTCTTTCATCTCCGGCTTATGGAGGTGGTGCTCATCTCCATTTCCAAGCCAAGGACCCTGTGTTGTCCATAGAAACCTGGTTGTGTACCTGGCATGACTGCATGGAGTGCCTGTTTGCCTTCTCGCCGAGGTGGTACCTATTGATCTACTCACATTTGCATGTTTTTGAATTGCTAGGTTGGCAGAACCTGGAGCTAACAGCGGGAGCTCACTCTGCTCCCTGGATTCAAAATGTCAGCCTTCAAGTCAGCAAGTTCAGCAGCTCAACAGTTTAACCCATTTCACTACCACAAGGCAGATAGGTTCATGAATTCACATTTAGTTCAATGTATTCATATAAACACTTAACCTCCCCTTCTAATATTTATATCTCATTTAGTGTGGCTAGCAGCATTTAAAAAACACTTGTGAGAAAATAATATTATAAAACGGGTCAATAAAAATGGATTAATAATACAACATAAAGAACTGTTAATAAAGCTCACCAAGGAAATGCCAGTCCACAGGGGAAGGTCATAAAATGAAACAATGAAAGAGGATACCAGCCAGCCCCTCTGAGAAAAAAAGTGTTGAGTTACAGCGCAACCACTACAACGGGTAATATTGTAAGTTCTTGGACATCAAACCAGAAAGAAATAAACAAAGGTTACAAGATGAACTTTGTGACTCCATGGGTAATGTATTCACATAAAAACTTAAATCCTGCCCTTCTTGTATTTATATCCCATTTAAGGTGGCTAACAGCATTTTAAAAACAAAGACTTAGAAGTGAGGAAATAAAATTACAAAACTGGTCAATAAAAATGGATTAATAACACAATATAACAGAACTGTTAATAAAACTCACCCAGGGCAGGGTGAGTTTCCTTACACCATGCACTGGCACTAGCAGCCAGAGTAAAATCTTGTCTACAAAGGGGGTTTTCAGCCATAGAATCATAGAGTTGGAAAGGACCTCATGAGCCATCCTGGCCAACCCCCTGCCAAGAAGCAGGAAAATTGCATTCAAAGCACCCCCGACAGATGGTCAACCAGCCTCTGTTTAAAAGCCTCCAAAGAAGGAGCCTCCGCCACACACCAGGGCAGAGAGTTCCACTGCTGAACAGCTCTCACAATCAGGAAGTTCTTCCTAATGTTCAGATGGAATCTCCTTTCTTGTAATTTGAAGTCATTGTTCCGTGTCCTAGTCTCCAGGGTAGCAGAAAACAAGTTTGCTCCCTCCTTCCTATGACTTCCTCTCACATATTTATAGATGGCTATCATGTCTCCTCTCAGCCTTCTCTTCTTCAGGCTAAACATGCCCAGCTCTTTAAGCCACTCCTCATAGGGCTTGTTCTCCAGATCCTTTATCATTTTAGTCGCCCTCCTCTGGACACATTCCAGCTTGTCAATATCACTCTTCAATTGCAGTGCCCAGAATTGGACACAATATTCCAGGTGTGATCTAACCAAGGCAGAATAGACTTCCCTGGATCTAGACACTATATTCCTATTGATGGAGGCACAAATCCCATTGGCTTTTTTTTTTGCCACCACATCACATTGTTGGCTCATGTTTAACTTGTTGTCCACAAGGACTCCAAGATCTTTTTCACACCTACTGCTCTCGAGCCACGCGTCCCCCATTTGGCCTGCTTTGGGGGATACTAGAAGGTTTGCTGGAAAATCCAGACTGCCCCAGGACTTTGGCAAGATCTAGACAGCTGGATCGGTCCAATTTGGCCAAGATCCGCTGTCCAGATAGGATACCACCATGATTAGGCTTTCCCTGTGTTGATCAGTGCAGAGAAAGGGAATGGATCCTGCCCGTGTTATTGTTATTGCTGCCACTACTGCACTTGCACGCTGAACCCTTGAATCCACCTCTTCTGGCTTCAAGCTCCTGGACATCCATGATGACCAGGAGCTTCCATGGCTGATAAGAAGTGTTGGCGGGGACATAGAGGAGGTGACATGTAACCCTGGGTCATCTGAACAATGGCTCCTGGATTTAGCATGTAATCTGGGGCTGCTCCAAGGACAGATTTACCACCGGTTATCCTGCCCAATTTGTGTGTGTACAGAAACTAAAAAGCATCTAAGGTACAAAGAACCTTTAAAAAGTGCTATCTCTGTGGCTTCAGCTGCACAGCCTAATATACACTTACTTGGAATGTCATGGAGTCACGTTTTTAGCAAATTTATTTCAAACCAAATTGCACATAGTAAAAGATGCCCTGCTTGTGTTTTACAATCAGCTAAGGAAGACTTCTATGAGAGGAACTGACTCAGTGAAAGAAATAGTCACCATGAGAAGTGCAAGATTTGAGTAGGGTTGTTGAAGGTCTCTCATTGATAGGGTTGCCATAAATCAAAGTCTATTTTATAGCACATAACAACAATAAGGAGGTCTGTGAAAGTTCACCTTATTGTTGGGATAAGTGAAATGGCTCCCAGAAGTGTGTGTGTGTGGGGGGGGGGGGGGGGGTGGCACCAGAGTGAAAGATTTACATGGTATTCTATTCAATACAATTTAGACAAGTAGAGAACTTTTTTATTTTCAAAGACCCCTAAATGTTAGTTTTATTGCTTTTTTAAAGGCAGCTTTTCAACCTGGAGGTCAGGATTCCTTGGAGGGGGGACCACAAGGGAGGTGTTAGAGAGGTCAACAAAGACCATCAGAAATATGTGTTGTCTTAGGAACACAGTGCTCTCCAGAAGTAGGTGAACTACATCTCCCCTAAATCACTGTAAATTCATCCCAAATCATGGGGGGTTTGTGTGGGAAATTTGGCTCAATTCTATCGTTGGTGGGGTTCAGAATGCTCTTTGATTGTAGGTGAACGACAAATCCCAGCAACTACAACTCCCAAATGTCAAGGTGTATTTTCCCCAAACTCCAGTGTTCACATTTGGGCATATTGAGTATTTGTTCGAAGTTTGGTCCAGATCTATCATTGTTTTGAGTCCACAGTGGTCTCTGGATGTAGGTAAACTACAACTCCAAAACTCAAGGTCAATACCCACCAAACCCTTCCAGTATGTTCTGTGGATTATGGGAGTTCTGTGTGCCAAGTTTGGTTCAATTCCATCATTGGTGGAGTTCAGAATGTTTTTTTTATTGTAGGTGAACTATAAATCCCAGCATCTACAACTCCCAAATCACAAAATCAATCCCCCACAACCCCACCAGTATTAAAATTTGGGCGTATCGGGTATTTGTGCCAAATTTGGTCCAGTGAATGAAAATACATCCTGCATATCAGATATTTACATGATAATTCATAACAATAGCAAAATTAAAGTTATGAAGTATCAACAAAAATAATTTTATGGTTGGGGGTCACCACAACATGAGGAA